AAAAAATAATAATTAAAAAAATTGTCATAATTTCTCCTTTTCTTATTTTTCTTTTATTATATATAACCTTTTTTTAAGATCCCTTTAAAAAAAAAAAATCTTGCCTCCTTTGATTGGTCTGGCTTGGGTGGGTGGAGTTGTCTCTTATTTCCCCCTTACTGGTTCTGTGTTTGTTTGTAATACTCCATACTTCTTTATTGAATTATCAATAAAAAATACCTTGTTTAAAAAAATAAATAAATAATAAAAATAAAAAAAAATTATCACCAGAAAAAAATCTCACTTGCCTCTCAGGGCTTCTGTGAAAATAATGAATAAATAAATAATTAAAAAAAAACAAACAAAAACACATAAATTAACAAATAGAAAAAAAAACATCACAATTATTGTCAATCATTTGACTAGGAATAGTTTATTAAAGGTGAGAAAACAAAACAAAAAAAGCCACAATCCATTTGTTTAATTGCTTAAAAGTATGTACATTATAAATAATTCCACTACAATACAACCATTTGTGTTTCCTAGTCTGGAGTCCTACATATTGAGATGTTACTGTCTGACGGGCCAGGCGGAGGGCGGAGGGCAGAGGGGAGCGGATCAGGAGGTCCAGTAAAACACCACTGGGGACACATTTGTTTACTTGCCTGTTAGCACTGAATACGACAGCTGGAGTAAGTGGGTTGTGACTGTATATTAGTGTACCAATAACTTGTTATTGTTCACGGGAGGACCAGGAAGTAGCTGGTGGATGTTTCTAGACCTAAGACTGCTGTAGGAGCACTACGTCTTGTGTGTTTACTAACAACCTTTCAACAGATCTTAGCGCTCCAAGAGCACCGTGCTGAAACCACACGGCAACAGCAGGACTCTTCTCTGTCTTGTGCTCTTTAATCCAGGCAGTTGCAGAGACGCTCCAAGATCGTTCGTAAAGGGCTGTTCTGTCCCTCAGATGCTGTACAGTCTTACAGGTTGAGAGGTTGAAACACTAGCCTGGACACTAGCTCTTGTGTCATGTTCATTGTGCGAGTACTCAAACTCAGTCCTCGGCTGGTTTTTAAGCGCTAACTGCCCTGCTGAGGCTCTTGCTGCTGCTGCTGCTGCGACGTTGCTGGGTTTAGATGAGAGGCCGAGGACGTGTGAGACCACGAGGCCACGACGGATGCCGCCGGCAGACTCTGCACGCCGCACATCGAAGTCGACAGCACGACCACGCTCTCCTCTGCCACCTCCTCCACGGTGATCCCACCTCCTCCGCCGCTCACCCCTGCGGCCTTCCGGGAGCAGTCCATGCAGATGTAGTCCTCGTTCTCGGCCATTTCGCAGGAAACGCCCACGCACACCTGGTGGAACCACTCGTCGCAGCCTCCGTCGCACTGCACCCAGTCCACCTGGAGATACACACACACACACACACACACACACACAGGCAGACATGTGAGTAAAAATTAAGAGAGACAACACCCAGGAAGCATTGTGACAATTATTGAAAACAAAAAAAAAAAAAACAAACCTTGGCAGTGACAAAAGAAAATTCAGGAAAAACATGATTCCTGTTTAATTTAACTAATTTAACAGTTCATGTGAAAGCTACAAGTCACTCATTGTGTGATTGATCTAATGTACTAGAGCTCCAGACTTCAGGTGCAGTCAGCCTAGCTCAGAGCAGCACCTTCATCATTTCATCACCTCTCCTCCACCCACAGAGCTGCGAGCCTCCCCGTTCCTCTGCTCTGACTGGCTGCCCTGTGGGACACACAGGTGAAGGAGACTGGCCACTGGTTAACTTTGCGGACAGTCTTTGTCTGCAAAGTCGTTTCCCGAAAATGACCACATCGGTGTCTCCTGTTAATACGTTATGTGTAACTCTCTTTAAGGTGTTCCAGTGCAGTTATCAGCTGTTGATATTCAATAAAGTTCCATGATGTTCATTTTGAAAAGTGTTTGTTATTAACTCAGGAAAACAAAAAAAAGACCTGTGTCATCCACTGGGAGACACCTGGGTGTCTGTAGGTTTTCGATGGTTTGCCAACCTCCTGTGATATCAACCAGAATTGACTGCCTTTCTAAGCGAAGCAGGGATGTTGTTACAGAGGGTCAAGGAGTATCTAACTGACAAGGTCAACATCTCAGAGGACAAACAGCATGGCACTGTCCAACAACAGCTACACTTTAACACAGCATCATGTCTGTTTTCATTTGGTCAGTCTGCAATAGAGAGGATTTCACAATGCAGAATGAAAAGCTGTATCAAGCCTGAGGAACTTCTATGACGGGACTGCTGGTGGGAGCAGTGCTCACAACTTAACGGACATTTTTATGACAAAAAATGCAGAACGTGAAAGTAGGGGCTGGGTGATATATCGACTATACTTGATGTATCTTGGCTTTTTCCACCCGAGTTTAAACTGACACATCATTTTTTTTAAGCCATCAGCATGAGACTTGCTTTGGTATTTAAGTTCTCTTCCTCTCACAGACACAAAAAGACATACAAATATGATACATCACACGCACTTTGTCGCCCATCCAGACCACTCTCTTGACCAATAGTGCGTGAGCAAGTGAGGCACGTGTTTTTGTATGTGCAGGGCTCAAGACCGCAACCATTTAGTCGCATTTTGTGACCATGGAGCACTAGTATGACTTGCAAATAAAATAATATATGAACTGGAGAGCTTATAGTTTGTTTCCACTCCACTCACAGCTTTGCGTGTTCAAATAAACACAAGAAAATTGTGCTCTAGAGAAAGGATTGGTGTAAGCCCTATGATAAGCTATTATGGCAAGGCTTAACTATACAGACCAGTGAGCAGTGATAACTAACACGTCTTTGGGGTAATCGGGTGGGAACCTCCTTTCACCAGTGTTTCATCTAGTTGGTCCCACAACCAGTTGGTCAGCCGGATCTTTCAGAATAAAAGCACCAGCGGTTCCGCTTTGATTGATTTTATTAATAGTATTAACAGCTCTTTATTTCACTTTGTTATAACAAAACTTTAACTTTATTATAACAGTTCTTTGTTTAACCATCCGGTCCCGCTCGGACGGAAAACGTCCTTTTCAGTCATTTTTCAGCTTTTATTTTTTGATAACTTCGACTGTGTTCATGCATATAGCATGACATTTGGTCAGAAACCTTATTTTTGGTGATATTTTGAAATTTTAAAGCCGCTCCTAAATCAGGCCTAAAATACACAAATGGCAACCTCTCGGACGAAAACCGTCCCCATTGAAACCCATTAAAATGTCATTTTTTGATTCCCCTTCAATGTACATAAAAAAACGTGATTTTTTTCTATCCCTGGCAGTCAGGTTGGTTAGAGAGACCCAAGAATGGTAAAAAAACAAAAAAAAAAACAAATAGATGGGGCCAATTTCCATTTTTGGGGCCCTGCTGTCTCTTCAATACAATTCCTGGTTCGGCAGTTGAAGCACTATAGGCCCCTAACAGGGTGGGCAAATGCAGAGTAGATCAAAAAATGGTCTTGCTGTGCTCATAAGGATGTGACAGTGTGGTCTGTATAAAAATATTGCAATATTGCTTTGTGTGCGTGTGTGTACATGGACTCAAAATACACAATGTCAAATCCCTATGTGAAAATATAGCGAAATGTAAAACCATAAATTCCGTATTT